CAATCAGATCGTGACCTTGACACCCAGGTTGATCGACCGGACGACAGCTATTTGATTCGCCTTAGTCATCCAATCAGGAGTCGATTCGGCTTGGGCGTCACGAGCGCACTTGTGGTGTGACGCGCGTTGCTGCGTGGCAGGACGGATTTTGTGCTCTCCGTCCTAACATCCAACGGAATTAATCGCTCTACACTGCCTCCGATGACTTGGTCACGTATTGTATGGGCCTGCCCACCGACTACCTTTCCGTGCTCTCTTTGCACGTGTCGGGCAAGGCTGGAAGAAGCGACGCGGCGATCAGACCATGACGTGGGATAGAGGCATGAAGAAGCTGAATTCGGTTGGTGCAGCCCGCGTTCCAGGTTGGGGCCCAAGGGATGAGGATTGTCGTTGGTTAGAGACGCTAAGAAACATGGCCCAGAATAGAAGTCAGTGTCGCGAATGCTGTACGGTCTGCCTGTCGAAATCCTGTGCCCAGTAAAAAAAGAACAATGAAAAACACAAAAAATATCAAAAAGTGTACGGTGAAACAAACAAATCTTGTTATCCCAGTTTCCTACTTTTTATTTTAACTGCCCCACTTTCGCACTTTGCTCTTTATTTCAACCCACCTGCCCCATGTTATTGTTAGCAATATTGTTGTGGCGTTGGCACCATGCGTGTTTATAAACCGATGTAATATATATATTGGATCGACGTGATCTCGGTCTTTCAATGAAAGACCGAGTCCCCAATACCGCCATGCGCGCAGCCTTACTCTACGGCTGCGAGGGCTGGCCTCTTCACACAGAAGACATACGGAGACTAAATGTCATGGCATCACCAGGATGAGTTTATCACAGTAAATCACCAACGCTGAGGTCCGCCTGAAGAATCTTGGCTTTAGACCATTTTAGTCGTTCTCTGAGTACTACCATCTCGCTCCACAGGCTTCAATGGTTGGTTCATATCCTATGGATGCCGGTTCGACGACTGCCCTGACGTTTTATGTTTGCGCTGGTCGACGCTAGTTGGAAGCGCCGAGGAGGTGGACAACGAATAACCTGGGTATGAGGGATGAAGGCGTTAACCCCAAACTAGCAGTTGTATGATGCTGTAGGCTCCCAGGTGGGGGATTAAAGATGGCGAACATCTTCTCCTAAAGATACTGATCGACATGACCCGAAAGCGGCGCATCTGTTGCGAAACTATTTGGAGTTCACGCCTGTCCCGCAATTTCTCCCGCCTATATTGTGGCACATTTGGCAATTCTATGTTATTCGTTGCGTGTTGATTCGTTGAGGGATCCACCCATGGCATTGAAGTACCTGGCCACTACTGTGATGTCCTCTTTGAACGAATCCTTTGGAGCATTCGGAAGGGGTCATTGGAGGAATCATCCTTCATTTCATGCGCATTGCAGTCAGTCAAGGCACGCACGAACAAA